CTATAATTTGTAACTTAAAACCCAATTACCAACTGAACCCACTTTAGAACATCGATTAAATCATTAAATACTAACACCCATAAGCTAATTAAGACAATTAATCACATAATCACACCCCAAGAATAGTGATTTTAGCCACACATCATAAAAAGTAAGAAATCAGTACCAATTACGTTCTCCATAATCTGGGTATGGTAATCAGAGTCTTACAATGATCCAAAATGCTTAATATCAACAACCCAACTTAAAATCTACTAGAAAACTCCTTAATGTGAGTAAAACAAAGTCTCAAATGAAAGATCAATGTCCAACAATGGCATAATTACTCATGAAATGACTACATTCTTGTTTCTGCTTTTTTTTAAAATTCAAGTTATACGTTCTCAAATTTTTGCATTCAAGATCACTCGGCGAAGTTAGTTGAGCATCACTGACAAAGTTGGTGATACGTCAATGGATTCATTCCATCACCGGTTTGCCTTGGCTCTTCATCCCTTAGACCATGTATCATTAGGCGATCCAAGTTTGTGTCGCCGATCCGTTCGACGGTTTGTCAAAGGTCCAAATCCATTGCCAAGTTGGTTTCTCCCTAGGGCTAGCAGTCTGAAACTTTAGGTGAACTAAAGTGCCACTAAGCGAGTCGCCGAGTGGCTTTCATGATTCTCAGCTTTTACTATCTTCAATTTTTTTCATCTTTTTTGCTTTTTTTGCCCAGTACTGTCCTTGCCTTGCTCTTTTGACTTTATATTTTCAAATTATCATTAAAACATCAGTTTAGAGCACAAAATAGGCATCGAGGACACTAATACTATGAATAACAAGTTATAAATGACTCGAAATCCCAGACTCATCAGTCACCATACAAATTTTTATTTGGAAAGACTTGTCACCTGCTAATCAAGCTTGAACACAAGGAACTATGGATATTGAAAACTTTAAACTTGAATTGGGGGATGCTTTGAAAGGTAGAGTCAATCAACTTTATGAATTGGAATAGTTTCAGATGAGGCCGTATGGGAGTTCACTTTTTATAAGGAGAAAATGAAGAAATGGCATGATGCAAAAATCCTCCAACGAGAGTTTCAATTCGCAATCTTGTTTTGCTTTTTAACTCTCCTTTGAGACTTTTTTTGGGTAAACTCAAATCAAAGTGGTTAGGCTCATTTAAAGTCACTTGAGTGTTAACAAATGGGTCAATTGAGGTTGAAATCAAAGAAGGATCAGCATTTAAAGTAAATGGGAAACTCTTGAAACTGTAATTTACCGAATGTCTTGATGTCTCAGTAATCAAAGTGGTGTTTTTGAAAGATGCTAGAGAGCATTTCCACGTCGTGCCACTATGTTAAATAAGGCTCTTCTTGGAAGGCAACCCAAGTTTTAGTAATTATTGAATAGTGTTTGTTGAATGTGTAGGTTAAAATCCTCATTTCTGACATAATGACAAATGGGCTGTGAACTGACCCTTCTGGCACATCGCCAATCAGGCCTTTTGCTCGCCCAAACATATAGCCCATTTTAAGGCCGACTTTGGGACATGTTTTGAATACTTCAACGAGATGGATGAAATTTTGGCGCACTGCGGAACCAGTCGGGGAGCCCGACTGACCTCGCCTTTTTACTCAAACTGGAAGATAATCTTTCTAGAAAGTTCAACGAGCCCACTCCAGCTCAATGATTTGCGGAATGGTTCGCGTGCCTCGAAACTACTCATTGATTGGGCATGAAGTGAAAACTCTCTCCTACTCTAATTTTTTCATTCAGCAATCCTTACTTGCTTGTCTTGTTAACTACATTCGTTATATTTGCATTAAGGACAATATAAGGTTTTGTTTGGCAGGGTGAGATATCTTCATGCCTACCCCATTGGGTTGTATTTATCATGTTTTGGATGCCTATCTTTTTGACTGCTTGTTTTTGTTCCGAATTAAAATTTGGCTCTTGACTTTAGTGTTTGGGAATATGTTTGTTCTCTTGAATATTTGAGTATCGGTTGCGATCAATACCGATGACTTTAATAGTTCTCCTAATTGAATGATATGTTTGTGCAATTCCAATGAGGCAAAATTTGATTTGCATAAGTTATGAGTGAACTTTTAGCATCTCATTGAGACTAGACGATTATTTTAGTGAGTCTAGCGATGATCGTTGCACGCAAGCTAAATTTGTAGAATCTTTGATTGATGATTGTGTTGAATGTTGTGTGTGGAAAGATTGACTATAAATATGTGCTTACTGATACCTAGACCTTGCCCAGTTGATCCAATTGATTAACATTGGTGAATGAAAGAAGTGATCTTAGGCACAAACTTTGGAGAGTGAACCAAATTGCTATTATACCTCTTTGTGAACACCTTGTAAGTGTGTGAACCTAGCTTGGCACCATATGACCCTAACATTTTCTTTGGATGAAACATGAACACATTTGACCTCTTTCCTCCCCACCTAAAACCTTCATGATTCATTGATTTGTTTGAATAGTAAACTTAGGCCAAAAACCTAAGTTGGGGTGTGGTGAAAAATGAGGAAAGTCAAGAAGTTTGTAAAAAAAAATATCCTTGAGGGTTGTGTTGAAAAAGATGGAATCCCTCCATATAAAAAAAGAGAAGAAAAGCAAAACAAGAAAAAGATTGAAAGAGAATGTTGCAATGAATCTTGTGCATGGATAAACGAAAAGAGGTGTCTAATGAGTCATGCTTAAAAGAACTTAGGGTGGATTGTGAAAATAAAAAAGAGCGAAAGAAAAGTAGAAGAAGTGAAATGCAAGCCAGGCTTCTTGAAGGTAGATGTCACTAAGCCAAAATGATCATATATTTACCCTCAGTCCTATTACAAGCCTTGAAAGACCTTAGTGATCTTGATTGAGTTGAATGTCATGTCGATTTGAAAATACGGGCAAGCCTATGGGTAGAATCATACATGTGTTTATCATTGAGAGTGTAAGAGTGGATTTTGATTCCTTAATTCTTAAATTTTGATGAATTGTGGGTGGGAATGGAATCCTTCTTTATGTGAGGGCATTCAAATACTTTTGTTGAGCTTGAATTTGCATTTGATACAACCATTGTGAGCTTGACCTCTATTTGATGATGACTAGTCACAGTTTGAAACTTGTAGTGCACAATTGAACATTGCATGGTTAGATTGAACCTCGTGTGCATTCATGTGGAGTGACAAGTAGCACTATTTGTAGACATCTATGTTGAACTGATTGATCTTGTGTTTTACTTGAGGATAAGCAAAAGTTGAAGTTGGGGGCAGGGGCGGACCCACGTGTTGCCCAGGGGGTTCACCCAAACCCCCTCAAAAAAAAATTACACTGTATATATAAGGTGAATTTTCTGGATTTATGTGAATATATATATTTTGAACCCCCTCAATGACAAGGTGAAGGAGATAGCCCAATGGCAGCTCCCTTCAAAGTTAAGCCTAACGTCTAGGGATCGAATCCCTGGGTTAGCATTTTATTTTTTAGTTTTTTACTTTCAGTCTTTTTTTTGTTCCAGTTCTGATTTTAATGTTTTTTTTTAATAAAACGTGCTAAAATGTGGTGTTAAACCCAAAAAATTTCAAGGGTCCCAACTCCCATACTCCCATTCCTAAAAGCTAATAACTTTTTCACTTTTCAAATCCCTAAATCACTTTCTTGTTCTTCCCCAACTCAAAACTCAAATATTAAAATCATCTCCCATAATATGGTATTGTTGATTGTTTCATACTGATACTCCATGCTTGAATCTCACATTCAATTCGAAGTGAAAAATCAAAACTCATGCTTATTGCTTAAAAGGTAAAAGCCTTTTTCTCTTCTTCTTCTTTTCTTTCAATTTTCAAGAAATTAAATGGGTCTTTATTTTTTAAGGTTGTAGACTTGTAGTATCTCTGATTATCTGAAGTGGAGGCTCAAAGCTAAAATTAAAAGGGTTGATTGTTTGTCTTTTCTCCAAGGTAAGCTTTTCTCTCAATTTTCTTGAAAAGTTCATCTTTCTTGATTGAATATTGACTAACTTCATTTTAAATTGTGAAATTTTTTTGATTGTTTTTTTCTATTCTTTCTTTGATAGTCGTAACTAGATTGATGAACCATTTGAATTTTGATGGTAATATCTAATGTAATTTGTAAAAAGTTATCTTTAATGCATTTAACAATTAACTATTTTGTATAGATCCATAGTCAATGGAGAAGTACTTTTTTAAAGTATCAAATTCAAGTTCTATTACTCAGAATCAACCTAACCGGGAAGAAAATGTTAATCATTTGGAAGTACCATCACACTCTTCTCAAGAATTTGATTCAAGTTCTTTAAAGCCTGATCCAGGTGAAAGAACTCAAATCAGAGAGTTTCCACAAACAAACATTTCTGGAGATGTGCGTCGTTTTAATCATAAATGGTTTGATGAATTTCCTGATTGGTTAGAGTATAGTATAAGTAAAGATGTAGCATTTTGTTTGTATTGTTATTTATTCAAGCAAAATAACAATCTTCAAGGCGGAGGTGAAACATTTTCGAGTGTGGGGTTTAGAAGTTGGCATAAAAAAGCTAGTTTGCAAACACATGTTGGTGGACATACTAGCATTCACAATCAGTAAAAAGAAAATGTGAAGATCTAATGCGACAACAACAATTCATACATGCTTCATTTGAGAAACAATTTAATCAAGATAAGCACGGGTATCAGATCCTCTTAGCAGCTTCAATTGATGTAGTAAGACTTCTTGTGAAACAAGGCTTGGCATTTCGAGGTCATGATGAATCTAAATTTTCACCTAACAGAGGTAATTTTCTTGAGATTCTTTCATTTTATGCCCCAAAGTGTGATGAAGTTCGTAAGTTTGTATTGAAAATGCTCCTCAAAATGACCAAATGACTTGTCCAAAAATTCAAAAAGATATTGTAATTACTTGCAAGATTGAAACAATTAAGGGCATCATAAAGGAACTAAATGGTGATTATTTTTCCTAATTGGTTGATGAATCTTTTGATGTTTCATGCAAGGAGCAAATGGCGGTTGTTTTACGATATGTTGATAGAAGAGGATTTGTGATGAAGAGACTTCTTGACATTGTTCATGTTAAAAATACTAGTGCTTTATCTCTAAAAGAAGCAATTGTCAATTTATTTTCTCAACATTCCTTGAGTATATCTTATGTGCGTGGACAATGCTATGATGGAGCAAGTAATATGCAAGGTGATATCAATGGCCTTAAGATGTTGATTAAGAAAGAAAGTAGATCGGCTTATTCCATACATTGTTCTGCTCATCAACTTCAATTAACTCTTGTTGGTGTTTCTAAAAGATGTCTTCAAGTTGGAGAACTTGTTCATTTGGTTTCAAATATTTTTAATGTTTTGGCGGCTTCTTATAAACGTATGGATGATTATCGAGAATCTCAAAAAAAAAAAATCAAGAAGCTTTTGATATGGGTGAGTTTAAAACGGGTAGAGGCTTGCATCAAGAAGTTGGTATTTCTAGAGCTTGCGATACTCGTTGGGGATCTCACTTCAAATCTTTTAATTGTTTTATTCTCAAGTTTGGTACAATTATGGACATTCTTGATAATATTGTTGAAATTGCACATTCTATGGATGAAAGATCTAGGGCAACAGGATATATCAGAATTGCTCAAACTTATGAGGTTGCATTCATGTTGCATTTGATGAAAGAAGTTTTAGGAATTACTAATGATCTTAGTACATGTTTACAAAAAAAGGGGCAAGACATTGCAAATGCCATGCTACTTGTTAAAGTGGCCAAAAGAAGGTACAAGAGTTGAGGGAAAATGAAAGATGGGATTTATTTGTTGTTGAGGTTTCTGCATTTTGTATCAAGTATAATATTGTGGTGCCTCATTTTTGAGTCGTATGTTAATTCTGGAAAATCACGGCGTAAATCTGTTGATTATACTATTTTCCATCATTATCGTGTTGAAGTATTTTGTAAAATAATTGATTGGCAATTGCAAGAACTCAATGATCATTTTGATGAGGTAACAACCGAGTTGCTTTATGGAGTTGCTTGTTTGAATCCGGTAGACTCATTTTCAAGTTTTGATATCCAGAAAATAATGAGAATGGCTGAATTATATCCTGATGACTTTGATGAACTTAAGCATGTGTGCACTTGAGAATCAACTAGCAAATTACATTATTGATGTCTGTGATATCGATAAAAGGTTCTCTGATTTACATGGGCTTTGTGATCTTTCAAAAAGATTGGTTCAGACAAAAAAATATTCATGTTATCCTCTTGTATTTCGTTTGGTGAAATTCCTTTTGCTTCTGCCAGTTGCCACTGCATCCGTTGAAAGAGCTTTTTCGGGAATGAAATTTATTAAGAATGAGTTCCGAAGTCGAATGAATGATGACTTCTTGAGCGGTTGCATGGTTCCTTTTATGGAGAAGGATGTGTTTAAGGATGTTTCAACGGATGATATTATTTTGTCTTTTCAAGCAATGAAACCTCGTCGAATAGTATTGTAAACATGATTGAGAAGTATTAGCACTGACCTCTTTTTGGAGTTTGTAGTTAGCACTCTAGTCCTAGAGTGAGACATTAGAAGTGCTAATTTTTTTTGTTCTAGTTAGCTCCATTTTTTGCTCTACTTAGCATCCTAGTTCTAGATTGACATATTGTAAATGGCTAACTTTTTGTTTCACTGTAATCACTCATGTTAGTTTCGGATTTCTTGTAACGAAACTAACTTTTTGTACCTATAAACTATATACTACTACTTCCTTGAAATTTTATTTTGTTGGCATATTTACACGTTTATACTTTTATTTTTCGAACCCCCTGAACGAAAATCCTGGGTTCGCCACTGGTTGGGGGTGTTGATGAGTCGGGGATTTTGACTTATTTAGGGCTTAATACTTACCGATTTAGTGTCCTCAATGTCCATTTTATGCTCGTAAGTAATATTTAAATGTTAATTTATAACAATGAAGGTAAAAGATCAAGAAAAGGGCAATACCGGGAAAAAAAGAGCGAAAAAATGGAAGAAGTTGAAGGGAAGCAAGGTTGGTACTCGCCAAAGCCACTCAGTGAGTCACCGAGTGGACCTTCAGTTCTCCAAAAGTTCCAACAAGCCAGCCCATGGACAAGATCAACTTGGTGATTGGATGGGTATTTCTGTGATTTGGGGAAGTGTTCAGCGATGCCAATTTAGCCTGCCAAAAGCTACAGCGTAACTGGTGAAAAAGCAAGCCAAAAAGGCGAGAAAATGAGTTCTTGGACCGTCGCCGTTAAGGTCGGCGTGCCCGACCTTGATCACCTAAATTTTCAACAAATAAAGGCAAAAAAGCCAAGTCAAGAAGGTGATGGAAGGGGCACTCGGTGAATCGCCGATCAGGTCAGTGAGCGTGATTTATTTCGCCAAGTGGACTCCGTGATGAAATTCTGGGAACATATATATGCAATTTTGAAAAGAAGAAAAGAAGTTCCCACATGGTCCAATTATGGGTTTTTGATCCTAAACATTGTTCTTGAACTTTTTGAGTAGAGATTTAGGGTTTCTTTAATTTTTAGCTCCAATTTGAGCATTTTGGAGACTTGTTGATTGTTGCCCAAGCTGATGGAAAACATAGTTGGTAACAATTTCTTGTTCTTTATTATGTTTGGCTAAAACCCCCAGTCTTGGGGGTGTGATTATGTAATTGAGTGTTTTATATTAGCTTATCGGTGTTAGTATTTACTTATTTTATTGTTGATTTGAAGTGGGTTCAATTAATAGTTTGTGTTTTAATTGATGAATTTTAGTTGCAAATGCGATTCTAGTTTAGCATTCAAACCTTGCTTTAGAAAGAAGTATTAGAGTTAAAACTTTTAATTGATAATTGTAGTGATTGTGTTGTTGCTGATTAAGCTTGAGAAAGTGGGTAAATGCAACCCTACAAATCCAGCTTGAGAAAGTAGATTGATTGAGGTATTGGGTTGTTAATATGTGTTGTGCTTGTCGAGGTTTCGAAAGTACTCGCTTGATTCGTAATAGTTGATTGAGAAATGGCTATTGCACCTAAGGCCTATCCTACCAACTGAAGTTCACCGACTTTTAGTAAATAATAATCACCCATTTAGCGAAATTGGCATTCAATTTATCACACTCCCAAGAAAACATCTCTACTTGTTTACTCCCGGTTATTTGTAGTTGTTAATTGTTCACCCAAATTCCCCCATTTGACATTAATTGTCAACCCCTTGTTATTTACTTTATTGTTGCAAAATGTCTACATCAACAAACGATTAGAACACCATTTTACTTCGTAATTGAATTGTCTAATGTTCCACTCCCTTTGTGTTCGACCCCAAATCTTAGTTGGGTTTATACTTCTTAGGGACCGCCTACACTTAGAATTGGATGAAGTGTAGTTGAGCATTATCAAGAAGTTTAGTCGAGATTTTGGACCCGCAAGTTAAGATATTGAGGAATAAGGAAGTTGCATCTATAAAGGTCACATGAAGGAATCAAAAGGTTGAGGCTGCTACGTGGGAGACCCAAGCAGATATGATGTCCTGTTATCCTCATCTCTTTCCCTACGATCCTATTCTAGCTTGAGGTATTAATCCCTTCATAGTTCATCCTTTTCGTTTCACGTGTCTCAGTTATTCTCATGTTTTCTCATGCATGCAAACTCACGAAAACTTAATTTTTGAGAAAATGAATTAACTTGATTGAATTCTTCATGATTATTTGCGTGGAGTATGATTTGCATGTATGCCTTGTGAAATACTATTTTGAGAATGTTTATATGCTTTTGAAGAAGTTTATTCTTGATAGGATGTTAGGTCTCTTCCGCTACACTCCTTATACTGCCGTAAGTTTCATTTGAGAATGAATATTCCCAAGGGGAGATATTGTAACCTCGAAATATGGTAAAGAAAAAAAACAAAGTTTTTGGGTTGCAGGTTGTGTCTATGGATCCTATCTTTAAACCGTAGAAGCTTCTACAGGCCGTAGATTTTAACTGTAGGAAGGGGGGAATAATTTTCTAAAATTAAGTCCCAGTACTTCTTTTACGGTTCACCAAGACGGTTTGTCAACCTATGTACAAGTCGTAGATAGGTCTCGTAGGCGAGTCCTAGACTTAGTGAAATTTTGAAGGTTAAATTTGGTGTCTACGATCCGTAGGATGACCTAAGAGCCGAAGACAGGACCTGTCAAAAGTTTATCCAAAAAAATAGTTTCTGAACTTTTCTATGGTTGACCAGTACGGTTTAGGTCAAAATTGCAGAAGGGCTCCGACAATTATTTTAAAGGGCTTTTAAGTCTTTTCCCTTAGGTTCACTTATGAAATCCAGTCTTCCATGGGGTCCCCGAAGTTAACAATTTCTTAAGCTCTAATTGAAATACTTAAGTTAGGGTTTCAAATCAATCTTTAAGGGTTTCATGTAATTGTGGTTGATTATTGTTAATTATGTCTTTCAATACATGATTCAATGTTAATACATCATATTTAGTTGGAATTATTTTAACCCATGCCTAAACTATTATTTTCAACTATGAATGCATGATGAACACATCAACCTATGAATTATGAATTTATGAAGGTATGCATGTATTTATAAAATTGTTGTAAATTATTTGGGGATTCTTTGAAAGGAAAATATTAATGTTATTGTGAATGATTTTCTCACAGGTTATTATGATGATTGAGAAAGACATTTCTCACATATGAATTCACTTTGATGAAAGTTTTCTTATCTATTTTGAATTTTGTTTAAGAAAGTATTTTATGTTTTTATCTTGAAAGATGTGGATAGGTATTGATCATTGCCTTCTCTATGTTTAGCGATATTTGACTTTTATCTATTCCGTTGAGATTTAGACTTCGCACCAAAAGGACTTTGAGGTGGAGGCTCAATTAGGGTAGTCTCTAGTAGCAACCTCTATTCCAAACAACGTACCTCCGTAAGATTGTCTTTAATGACCTAGCTAGTGGATCCACTTTAGTAAATGATGATATGTGTAGATTTTACCTTGGCAAGTAGATTCATTTTCTTTCTGTTTTAGGGATATACCTGATTTCATGATATAGCTCTCATGGTCTTATTGCTGCTTAAAGCTAATATCCCACAAAATGATTAAAGCTTCCCTTTTTTATCTCATGTTTATTAATTTATTTGACCATGTTTTTATGATTTTCAGGTCATTTATTTCTTAAGATTTGAAATGTTTCAATACGATCATTCCTACACGTTTTAAGTCATTCATGTTACCATGCATATGTTTATGCATATTGCCTCATACTTAGTACATTCTATGTGCTAATGTATACTTGTGCCTAGATTGTTTCAATAATGTAGGGTCTGACACTCCTACCTCCCATACTCATCGCTAGACATCTATTGGGTGCTTCAAGTGATTGGTGAGTCTCCATTACTCGAGGACCGAGACACTTTATAGTTTTATGTCATTTCCATTTTTAGACTATATATGTGATGTATGGGTTACATCCCAATTACTTTTCGTACGATGTATTACATGACTTATTGAGACTTATGTTGACTTCCACTTTGCCAACCTCTTTTGATATATGAATGCTATCTTTTATTGTCTTTAATTTTTTTATCTTGTATGATGTATACTAAGTGGCTTGTGTAAGGGCTTTCGGGGTTCTATACGTCAAGTTACACGTAGAGTATACTTTGGGTCGTGACAAATATAAAAATCAATTCCCAAAATTGATGAACTGTAATACCTCATATTACATTATGTGCAATTAAAAAGTCAAGAAATTTAGAAGAAGAGAAATTGTGTATAGAATATTCCTTTCAATCAATAAAAGAAAAAAATCAAATTTAATCAAAGGGAGCTTAAGCCCAAATTAGAATTCCTTTTGCAAAGAAAAAAGAATAAGAAGGATTAGGTATATGAACTTATGTGTGCAACAACCCAAAAAAAAAGTAAATTTGTATAGAAAGAGGAAGAGACTAAAGAGAGGAAAGGTGAAACTAGGGGAACAACAATAGAAAGGGAAAGAAAGTCATCATAGATTTTTATCGATTTTGAAGTAAATCTTTTTCTTCTTTTCTTCTAGTACAGCCTCATCAAGATTTTAAGTCAAGGTAATTTACTTTGGGTGTTTAAGCCAGCGACGTATAATTGATAGTAAGGGTAGTTTTGATTACATAATTAGATGAAAATATTACATACATTAGCGGAAGTTGGTAGATTATGCACTAGTTAAATTACTCATGACATGAATAAATATAATTTAACAAGTCGATGGTCTAACAAAACAATTTAAAAGATTGAATAATACTTAAAAATTTGTCACGACATATTTAAAGATCGTGACCCACTAAGGAGGTGAATCCCAAAGTAAGCCTTGACACAAATCTACAGAAAATCTGGCAGAGTTTACCTTGTTTTTGGACTTATCCAATTTTCCCTCTCTTAATAGCATCAATACAACTAACCAACATCATCAAAATAGTACACAATACCCATTAACAATATATTCTCTATGCTATAACTCTAATCAATTTCCAAATAAGGAAAGATGTTTAATACTAGTCACATGTCTATTAAAATGAAAGTATACTCATTACTCAAGTAAAAAAATGACTATGGAGTGATTCTAACACTTAAAGAAAGGTTCATAACAAATAGATAAGTTTGTTGCCCGCGTGAACAAATGCAGGGCCCGCCATGAAATTTTGACTTGCTAGCTCTAATTAATGAAACCTCGCCAACATCAACTATTCTCTGTAAAAATAATAGCGTGGAGTAAGACGCTAGCTTAATGAGTAATAACACTTGACAAAAACTTTTTCAATGAGAGTCAAGTTAGAAAATATGCTAGTGTGATAATTAAAATCATAAAATAAATGTCTTTTACAAAAAACAGTAACAATAATCAATATTTTTGGTATACAAGCAAAATTTCAGTTTAAACATTTAGAAATAAACTTTGTAAAGACTTCCATATTGAATCTTATATCAGGGAGGTTTTCAAGGATGAATCATGTATTATGTATGGCTCTTCTCTTTAACATATAACTTATAACGTTGGATCCCTCATAAAGGAGTCAAATATTCGTATTAGTGGATCCCAACTCGAGGGAAGTCAGTAACAGTATGCTAGTTCTACCTTCCCACTCACAAATAATATATCGGTAATCTATATATACAAGGTATACCAGGTCTAACGAAGCCTCCATTACCTACGGGATCCATCAAGGTTTACTC